AATTTTTTAAAAATTAAATACAGTGGAGTCCACTAATAATGAGTCCTGAAATAACGAGAAGTCTATTATAAAGACACTATTCTAAAACCCCTTTTTTCCCCTTCTTAATCTTTGTAAATAAAATACTGCTATAGCGCAATCAGACAAACATGGGAGTCGGTTATAGCGGAATATTGTTGCTGCTGTGCACAGCGCATAAGCCAATTATAATTATGCATAAAACCTCGCCAGTTGACAAACTTAGTGATCTAGCAAAACAAACAATGAGAGAGCCAATGTGCCAATAATGAAGGCCGAAACGAATGAGCAGGGAGTATGTGGCATGCGCAGACAAGCAGAACGTATCGCGTGATAGGCCAGCCTTGTCTAGGCTTTCCTTGCCTCTCACTTCTCTGACGCGGAGATGGAGAGGTCACAGAGCTGTGATGAATGGAGTGAATGTGTGAAAAGGGCAGGATGAGGTGTGTACCCAATGAGCGCAGGCAGACGGAACGCACCACATGGTGTGGTGGGGTGGGGAACGACACAGCGGGCCAGTTAGCCTAGATCCTTTTCTTTCTGATCGCCAACGCCGAGCTGTCAACATCTCCACAAGAGAAAGAAACCTGATTCGATTTTTGATGAAGTAAGACCTAGAGGTCATGTTGAACAAAATCATTATCAGGTGAGATAACAAAAAGAAATACATGTAAACAGAACACCAAACTCCTAATAATGAGAATCCTGCTATAATGGATATTTCGCACCAGTCCCCTCCCTCTCGTTATAACAGGATTCCACTGTACAATGAAAAAAATTGGGATACAATTTTTCAACTTCTTTTAACTTCAACTGTCAATGTTTTTCAATCGCTAGTGTGATTAAAGAACCTTGACATTTGGAGTGAAGATAAAATATTAAGAGCTGCTACATGTACTGGGTTTGACTGCTACTCGAAACTCTTTACAAGATTTCCAAATGTGTCTACATGTACAGTCAAGCATACACACAGTGAACATGCATAGCAAAACATAGTGAACACCCACACATAGCTAAATATGCAAATACAGTGGAAACCTGATATAACAGAAATGGTGGGACCAGAGACTATTATATCGAACCCTGTTAAATCAGAAATGCAAAGGAAGTAAGCATTTGCGGACTAATCCAGTTGTATTTATTCATGGGTAGTTTCCCTAGCCACAAGTAACTACGAACAGAGGTTTTTATGCGTGCATGAAGCAAGGCTTAGGGCTAGATTGAAGTCTGCAGCATACCACAGCCCTCTCTCGCTTCACCCGCTGCGTGTGCTTACAACTTACAGTGGCGTGGCTTGCGTGGGCTTGCTCATCACTGTTACTCTCTCTCTCTCTCTCTCTCTGTCTCTCTCTCTCTCTGTCTCTCTCTCTTTATCAATTTACTTTTTACACATTATTAACGAGCCTTTGTCCCTGCTATAACCGATTGGGCTCCGAAGAGGCCCTGTTATTGGCCATAACTTTTAATAGAGACAAAGAGTAGGAAAAAAACGGGATTTAGAAAATCCTTGTTATTACTGGATCCTTGTTATTACCGGGCCGGTCAAATAACGGTTTCCACTGTAGTCAACCGATTTTCGGGTCCTGATTTTCCCATAAATTGTAATACAGTGGAACTCTCACTCTGATTCAGCGAGCTCGGATTCAACGAGAACTCGGATTCAATGAGATGAGATAGATTCCCCGGGTTTTTTTTTCTTCTTTAAAATCAATAAAAATAGCCAGGATTTAACGAACACTTAAATTAGCGAGCACGGATTCAACGAGGTCGCTTCCAGGGTGAACAGCCCCTGCAGACGTGGCTTCGCTAATTTTTCTCCCAAAATGAACTTTACCTATTCCCGGATTCCTGGAAACCATTCATTGCACCTGCATCGTGAACCATTATTCACTTAGCCGATTGCAAACGACCAATCAGCGGCCTTTTTTCATACCAACACATGCGTCGTTGGCACGCGCACATGTCTACTCTGGCGTGTGTCAGGGTCGGATGGGCGGCCTGAATGCGTGTCGGGGAGAGGGGGGGGGGGGGGGAGCAATAGTGGTCCCGGCGTTGAACGTTGCAGATACAAACGCATCAGTCTTTTTTCCCCCTCGGCAACTGATCATTATTACAATGATAAGCTAGTCTTGATGTAGATATACGTAATGAATTGTGCGCTGGTCTATGGAATCAAAAGTTGTCGTATGCTAGGCTCTACACAGCAACACAACTTTTTGGTAAACAATCAAGATGACACAGGCGTGCATTTGAACGAATTGGTCATTTTTTTTACACAGCTCATAATATGCAGGCATTTCAGGCACTACTTGTGACTTCTCTTTGCACATTACTTGCTCAGTGCCTGCAATTATCTACACAAAACCTCATGTTTGCTAAAACGAACACTCAGATTCAACGAGATTTTAGGTCTGGCCCGGCGACCTCGTTGAACCCGAGTTCCACTGTAATATAATGTATGATCTTGCAGTTGTTAAAAATAGCTGTGCTTCAGGCAAAAGAACAAACTGGCATTTGTCTCACACCGCTACCCAAGCGTTCTTTGATTTAATTGAGAAATTTTGTTATTCCTTTTAATCGAGAAATTTTCCAATTTCTCCACAATTTCTCGTCAAGATTTAGCTCTTACTTGTACACACCCCTGAGTATAAACTAAAAGAACAAAAAAAGGTGCATTAGAATAATATGCAGTGCATTTAAAAAACCCTCAAGACTCTTGTCTATGTCTAATTCAAATGATGTCAACTTGAGCTTGATGAGTACAGGTGTTTGAAAAAGAAATTAATTGAGTTTTTTTTAAAAGAGCGCAAGATATCTGTCTAAAGCGGAAACCTTTACAAGGCGGAGAAATCCCTTCCCTTTGGAGATTTTGACTTTGACTTGTCAAAGATGGAAAAAGCTTGGCCAGCTCAAGCCTACTGTAGGCCTACTTAAAACAAAACTCCCACGTTCGGTACCACCACTTCAACCTTAACACCACACCAAGTGATGGAGAGAAGAAGGGGTGCAGTTTGAGGGTAGCTGTTGCAAACTCACGTGAGCCCCTTGTGATGCAGATGGTCGGTTGGTGTGGGTGTAAAATCTCACCACTGCTTATCTTCATAAGTGAGGCATCAACATTACAAGGAAACTTTCCTGATGAGACAGAAGTGAAAAATCCCCCCCCCCCCCAACTCCGATATGATTATATCGCCAGCCCAGAAAAAAAAGGATCCTGAATCTTTACAATTAAAGTACAAGCAAGGGAAAAGCTACATTCATTGATTGTGTTTACAGTTAGTTGAGTTAGTCGGCCCCATTTATTTTATACAGCCATGGTTATAAAAGGATTCCAGCAATAACAGGGTTATAATAAATTCCTAAGTCCAATCTTTTAAGTAAAAGAGTTGTTTTATAGTATAGAAGGCATTTAGACAGACATGCTCGGCTATAACAGTGCTACAACTATCGACAAAATCCTAAAACAGACAAGAAAGCAGAATGTAACAAAATAATTTAAGCAAAACAACAGCAAACATTGATGGTGGTGAACTGGATATGACCCCCAATAGAAGGGCTTAAGTTGAACGTGTACACATTTTATGATTATGATGTGTCATACTGTGTGCGCAGAGGAGGGAGGGGGGAAAGCTGGGTGCACTTTGGTGTTGATATAAATCCAGTCAATCACTACGCTAGCATGATCTTGGTCTGGCACCACATCGTCACATTGTTTCCCAGTGGGGTGACAAGACTTGTTGCAGGAAAAAAAGATTGAATGAAATGTAAGCGCTGGGCACTAGATCTACAAATCTATGTCATGTGTGCTCTTTTTCCCAAATGTGGTACATGTAACTGATTACGAAAGGTCGTAGTAAAGCAAATACATGGAACATGCTGCAGGCTCTGTACAGTAGAGTTTGGAGATACATTTGTATGGAGAGAACGCTATATGTGCAATTAGAAGGCTACAATTATTACCGGCGTATCTCAAATCATTTCTTGTCAACCTCCATGAGACTGAGATAAAGATGTTAGAAAAAGGAAGATAATGATGAGACAAAAATTCCACAGAAAAAGAAAAGAACATTTTAGACTGAAAAATTGACGATATAAAATATATCATGTGTTGTTATAAAAGCGATCCTACTCGTTGATCATTAGTTACTGTGTGATGTAAGCTTCATCCCTGTCTATAACACAGGATCCGGCTAAAGGGGATTTCATTAGGGATGGGCATTAGTCAATACCAGTACCCAGTACAGTGGAGTTCACTTATAATGAGTCCGGAAAAAACGAGAAGTTTGTTATAAAGGCACTATTCTAAAACCCCGTTTTTTTTCTCCTCTTTACCTTTGTAAACAAAATACTTCTATAGCGCTATCAGACACACTTGTGAATCGGTTATAGCGGAATATTGGTGCTGCTGTGCACATGGCATAGGCCAATTATACATAAATGCAAGACCTCGCCAGTTGAGAAACTTGTTGCTGATCTTGCGAAACAAAGAATAGGAGAGCCCATGTGCGTCAACAATGAAGGCCGGAGCAACTGAATAGGGAGGGTGTGGCATGCACAGACAAGCAGAACACATCGCGTGATAGGCCAGTTTAGATTATCAAGGCCTGCCATGCCTCTCACTTCTCCAATGGGGGGATGGAAAGGTCACAGCATTGTGATGGATGGAGCGAATGTGTGACATGCACAAGCAGAGAGAATGCACCACAGGGTGGGGTAGGATGGGGGGAAAACACAGCAGGCAAGTTAGCCCAGAGCCCTTTCTTTCTGATCGCCAACGCCGAGCTGTCAGTCCACATCGCTAGATCTAGCGCTAGAGAAACAAGCCTGATTCGATTTTTGATCAAGTAAGACCTAGAGGTCATGTTGAAACAAAATCATCACCAGGGGAGATAGCAAAAGGAAAAACAGAAAACCAAACTCATAGATTAGGCTTACTTTACAGTTTCCCTTGAATTAATTACTGGATCCCTTATAGCGAGAATCCTGCTATAACGGACTTTTTGCTTCGGTCCCCTCCCTCTCGCTATAACAGGATTCCACTGTACTGGTTCTCAAAACGTAACTTAATTGATACTCGATATTGGAAGTCCCTTAATCAATACTATTCGATACGGAGATACTTTTAGACAAATGAATGAAGCCCCTTCACTTTCGAAACCTTAAACAGTAACTGAGATAACATGGGATGGATAAAAACTTTTTGTCTACTCTTACATACATAATACATGTACTAAAGTAGGTGTACACTCGCACAGTTGTAGCCAATTTTACTATAGGCCTCTTGTCATTCCTCGGTCAGAAGTCAGAAGTCTGAGAATACTATTCGTCAGTATTCGAATAGGCTGAGAACAATGCCAGACGCGAGAGGTATGACGCAAAAACATCTGACGATAATCATCCAATCACGATTGTTTCTCAAACTGGCGAGTGGGCCTAGACCTAAACACGCGATGAATCATCCAATTAAATTTGTTATCGAACAGGTTATCCTAGGCCTAATTGATATTCAAGAGAAAGTTTTTGGCGCAATTTGGTGCAGCACTCAAGATTGCGCTTTTCTTTCATTTGATGAATTTCGTCTTACGGGGCACATCGTGCGCCATAATTCAATCGTTGTAGCCATTTTATACCTCTGCTAATCTCAAAATGTCTTCACAGCTACGAAGAAAGAGAAGTGTAGTATGAGAACATATTTTGATATATCTATACAAGTGTTGTGTCCATTGCTTTCCAATGATTTCCTTAACCAGTACTAGTACTGGGTATCAGTACTAGTACTGGGTATCGATCGATACTGAATTTCTTAGTCAGTACCAGTACTCGTGATTGGCTAATATCGACTAATGCCCATCCCTAGATTTCATATTGGTCCCAACAGTCCTGCTATTGCCAGAGTCCATTATACTACATTGTACATCAATGAGTGGAAACAAAGTAAATTATCAAAGCAAACTAAGACTTGCCAACTTTTTCAAACCCCAATCAGGGACACCCATTCTTATAATATCAGATTACATTCAAATGAACAAAATTATATAAGGTGAGTCTGGCTATGGGCATAGTGTAATACACATGATAATAAAAATGTCTTCTCAAATTCCTGATTGCAAAATCTGGGAAGTTCAGGATAGTCGGCAAGCCTGCAAATGTCAAACAGTGAGCTCTTGTATTAGTAATAGATCTATATATAAAGTCTAGGCCTACTGATGCATGGCAATGTCATATCAGAGCAGCTAGAAATACTAGGACAGCATTTGGGAGGTGTAGTTTTGAACATAGTTTCGGACTCTTGATCCCACTTACCAAGCTGGCCCCTTTCCCCTAAATTCTCCATTCTAAGACTAAAACTGAAAATGTTTGGTTTTTTCTAGCTCCTCCCTTACAATTCCACCTTCAACTGGTTCAATTACGTACAGGAATATAGCAATTATTATAGCTGGAGATCTTCTTAGAAGTTAGAAACTGAGCTAGAGATGGAAGATAAGAATCAAAACAAATGTTATTACTATTATTACAGTAGAACATGGCAACAGTGGGACTTTAAGTTCCAGAAGAAAAATCCCGCTGTAGGCAAGTTCCCGCTATAGGAATGCAAAGGGGAATTACCGAAAAACCACACACTACACACTCTCCCCTTCTCTGATTGCTAGGGCTATGGCACATCACTTTTAGAGTGGCTCACGTGTCTCTCCACACCATCTCTCTCTCCTGCCTGCCCCACCTCACTCATCACTGGACTGGCCAACCACAATGCCACACCAATGAATGCCTGTTTGGAGCTCACCTACAGCTTCTCCCCACCCCCTTCCCCCCAGCTAGAGCTCGCTCGATCTCTCCCGCCATAGGCCTAGCTCCCGCCATATTCAACTTTGGGCCTTTCCTTGCTCCGTTAAACCCAAGCACAGTTAATTTAGTTTACATAGCCACAAAAAAAGGGTGATTCTGGTACGGTCCCGCTGCAGCGGGTGCCGCTATAGTCATGTACTAAACTGTATTACAATAAAGTTAGCTGAAAGACAAAGGAAGATTATAATAAAAAGAAAATAATATGGCAAGTCAAAATATAAGGTTCAACTACTGAGATTGAAGAGTGCAATGTTCTGAAAAAATGGGGTGGCCCTCAAACCCAAAAGGACCATTAACCTTGAAAACTATTGTAGGCTGAACTAAAACTCTTGAGATTGTGAAGACTTCTTGGCCTTTGAAGCAGTAGCAGCAGCAGACTTCTTGGGCAGAAGGACAGCCTGAATGTTTGGCAACACACCTCCCTGAGCAATGGTGACACCAGAAAGCAGCTTGTTCAATTCCTCGTCATTTCTGATGGCTAGTTGAAGATGGCGAGGAATTATTCTGGTCTTCTTGTTGTCACGAGCAGCATTACCAGCCAACTCTAACACTTCAGCAGCGAGATACTCGAGTACAGCAGCCAAATAAACAGGAGCTCCAGCACCAACTCGCTCAGCATAATTGCCTTTCCTCAAAAGACGATGAATTCTGCCAACAGGAAACTGCAGTCCAGCCCTTGATGAACGGCTCTTGGCCTTTGCTTTGGCTTTTCCTCCTTTACCTCGTCCAGACATGGTGTTTCGAACCTGCTTTACTTTAGTCGACAAAGGATCTCTGAAATTGAAAAAAAACTTTCAGTTTCACCTCTCACCGTCGATGTGCTCTCAAGCTCGGTGTCCAGTGCGGCACACAATGATTTCAAACGAGTGACTGCGGATAGAAGAGGTCTGTTGATTGTTGACTTCCGTCTATCATTAGGCCAACGATTTCGTTTCCCCATTCATACAGTAGCCTACAGCTGTTGCTGCTGTGCGAGTGTTTGTTTGTCAAGCAGAGTAGTTTTCTCTTGGGGAGAATTTATTGCTTCAAAATAAAGCACTGATAAACTATCACTAAATATAGTACCATTCACTATAATTTATTTTTTGTAAGATTTATTGTTTTATAAAATAACTTTTACTTTCGATTCTGTGAGGATAAATCTTCTTTTCCAGCTATTTTCAAAATCTTGTATTACCACAATAACTATTTTTGCAAAACAACGGTTCCTCAGGCAAGCATGGCAGAGGTGGCGGTGTAGTGTACCCTGCCGGGAGAAGGTCGTACACATTGTGTAACCTTTATGTTCAATTGCGTTAGCGTGTATACAAGTTTCAGTTTCAGGTCATTTGGTATCTAACTAAATTTGTGTTCTCCGTTAAAAGCAGGTAGGCCTATGTGTAGATCTACATTCTAGATCTAGATTTTTTCATCTCTGTTTTTTGTCCTCATCCACTGTGAGTACCTCTTCGTCTTCTTACTCTACTGAACTCATCTACTTTGTCTTACTCAAAGTTACTCTTTTCTTTAGTCTTTACTGACTTTATACCGTACATTTTTCGTTCTGACTGCAATTTCATTTCGAAGTGACTAGATCTAGATATAGATATAGATCTAGATATAGATCTATTTCTCCGAACGTTCGGAGAAATAGTGTCGATCTTTATTTCTCCGAACGGTTCCCGGCTTCCGGTCTCCTGATTTTTTGCCTAGATCTATTTATTGCAAAAGTTCGGCGCCAACTTTCATTCTGCCTCTGCCTCTGGTCTGGGAAGGAACAGCGCATGGCAAGCCCGCCTACATACAACCTTCAGTAAAACCCACCACACACCCACCACCATCATGCACATGTACACACACAAACTTATACACACACTAACTAAACATGATCAGTGGGCAACTTTTGAACATATGATGAGCTGAGTTGTGGATGGAGAGACAGTGTGAGTGACAGAGCGGGTGAAAGGTAGAATTTACGAGTGTATCCACAGGCGATAGCAACTACAAGACGACGACACCGACCCTCCTGGCCTGGTCCACAGCTCACGAATGAAAGGAATGTGGCTAAGGCAGTGTTTTTGCCTATATTATTGTCCATGGTTCGCAGGGTGCAAGGGAATGAGTGAGATTTTCTTTGTGTGTGCCTGAAGGGAGGGGGTGGGGTGTGAAAGTCATGTGGACGGGGATGAGCCGCGGGAGAGAACATGGACATGGGAATTGAATGAATGAGTGAAACTGAAAGAGAGGAACGACTCATCATGAGCACTGGAGTGTATGGATCCTGTGTTTCTATTTTTGTATACTTTGAACTGTTACTGAATAATGGCTGAAATAAAGCCCGAAAAATACACACACACTCCTCACTCTCCACTTACACACTTACTACCACACACAGACACACGCACATGCATAGACACACACACACACACACAGGAGCAAATTTTTGGGTCTATATCTATTTCAATTTTCAAGAGCTAGTCTAGAGATTTTTAGATGAGTGTAAAAACGGGAAAAAGAAAGGTTTCACAACAGAATTAAATCAAAATTAGTCGAACAGCCCATAAACAACCACAAATATTAACAAATAAGGGTGTGTGTCAATCTGTCTGAAGAAAATTGCCTGTTTTAACCCTAAAAGTGCGTAAATTTTTTTTTGAAAGTACAGGATATTACATGTAAATTATGGAATCACACACATTAAGGGGCCTGCCAGTGTCAGTACATGTAATCGGTTTTGGTGGAACGTACGCTCTAACATAAAACATTTAAATCTTACATGTATATATATATATATATATTTAGAATTTAATGAAGGTAGGAACATCAAATTAAATGATGTTACACTATGCAACATTCCCCCCCCACCTTTCCCCCCCAAAAAAATGATAGAAAAACAACACATCAGAACAATAACAAGAAAAAAAATTACACACTAACAAAATAAAACACCACAAAGAGTCGAAGAGGAAAAAAGTAACTGTGACGTATTCAACAAATCAACATGGTGACAACAAGTGAAGTGAGAAAGAGACTAAGTGAAGCTAAGTGAACTTTCTTTCAAAAGTAAAGAGGTTCGGTTTCTTTCTTTTTTTTTAAATTTGACTTTTATTCCCCAACCAAAAAATGCCAAAAAATCGAGCCACGATTGATTGGTCGCAGCTGCGACAAACGCAGAAGCTGGTTCTATGTGTCGTTATCAATAACCCTCCGTAGATCTAGATCTAGACAGCACACGAGTGAACACAACACATTAAGTTTATGAGCAGCACCCTTCATAGGCAACATTTCATATCTGTAGCGAAAAACTGTTTGGAGTTTTTTATATAAATATTTACTGCAGACATTTTTTGGACCGATTGAACCATATATTGTATACAAACAATCTTGGTAGGCCTATACTCTATATAATTCCGAAATTTGCGGGAAAGGGTGTGATTTCAGAGTGTTCGGAGAAATAGTGCCCAGCTTTATTTTCCCCAACGTTCGGAGAAATAGTGCCGGCCATTTCTTTTTACGAAGTGACTAGAGTCTAGATCTAGACTCTAGATCATAGATCTAGATTTGAGATCTATTCAGACTTCCTAATAGAGAAAAATTAAATTCGGACTTGGAATCTGAATTGAGTCCAGCATGACGTCCGTTCCGACCCTTGTTCCTAAATATTTCCAGCATGTACGAACTTTTTTTCGATTATAATGATAAGTCGAGACGTGAGCTTTTTTATCCAGTTACTTGATCTAGATTCTAGATCTATCTAAACTGGCCCTACCTGCATCACAAGTATAATTAGATCTAGATTCTTGTATGAACAGAGAACGACTAAGTTGAGCTGATCTTGCCAGGGGCAAAGTTAATTATGTCGACCAATCGTCCAATGAGATTGCGCCTAGCGATCTCACACTCTCGGCTTGCTGGGGGAAGAGGCCACGGCTGTCGGTTTTGTGCGATGTAATAAAGAAAATAATTACAGAAAGGCCAGCTCTATAGAATAGCGCTGGCGAGTCTTTTGGCTATTCTCACTCGGTGTGCGTTCACCGTTATAGCCTAGGCAAACCAGTGTAGAGTTCACCCTGAACCACACAATTGCACACTGTGATAATAGAATTGAAGAATTCTGTGCCGTGAACAAATGTTCAATTACTACTGTCAGCCTAAAAGCGTGCAATTTTGTCTGTGGGCAGTGGAGAGAGGAGTAGGCTAGGCCTAGCGCAAGAACTTCCGGGCAAAACAAAATGGCGACCCGCATAGTTCGGCTCGATTCAAAAAGTTAAATAGCATTAACATCTTTGTAGAAGACCAAATTAATTTACTTTTGTGTTTTAACATCATTTTTAATCTTTGTTTTGGTCAATTAG